GCAGTAATTGCTGGCCAGCTGCAGGATTACAGCCCTGGAAGCCATGTGCAGGGCAGCATGCCAGGATGTTGGCAACAGGAGTCTGGGCCCTCGGTGCTCCCCATGGGCTCCTGAGAGCATAAACAAGAAAACGACTGCATAGTGACAGGTCAAGGTTTCCACATGGACCATATCCTCTAAAGCCTGGCCTTGATGTCCTCTCTTTCTGCTGGCTTGTGTTGCAGACAGGCTACCCACTTGAGGCTAATGGTAGCAGACACAGGGCTGACCTCTGGCTGTAACAGCTCCAAAGGAGCCAAAGGGTCATTAGCCTTTAGTGTCACTTTCCCTCCTGCAGAAGGCAGAGTACACATCAGATGAGTGAGAAATCAGTAGTAACTCCTGCTTAGTGCTTGGGGAACTATTAGTATCCTGAGCTGGGTGGGGCGGGGAAGAGTTGGGTACTGCCTGCCTATAGCCCTTGGTACAAAAGCCACTGTAGAGTGGGCTGCTGGCATGGGGGAAATTGGTCCCTCCTTCTTCTGCTCTCTTGTTTTCTTCATCCATCACCAGCCTAACTGTCCATTGGCTCCCACCCAGCTTCAGGTATGGTGAGCATTACAGATCAACAGCTGATCACCATTAAAATTTGCACATAGTTTCCAAGGGGCAGGGGCACATCATGTCACAGGGAAAGCCCCAGGGATCAGCGAGGAAAGAGTAATAGAAAAATGTAGACAAGAAGCCTGATTGTGGTTTACAAAGGAAGGAATGGGTGAGGCAGGATACACAGGCAAACTGGGATAGGATTCACCAATTTGGGTAATTTTAGTGGGCCCTGAGGCCAAAGGACTGTCTTCAGTCATCTGGCATCTGGCCCTGGGGTGGCTAGTGAGGGAACCACTAGCCAGTGGTATGAGAGCCTTATGGAGGAACCAGTTGGGGGTGTGGGTTCTGGATTGGTTAGCCTGCATTTGAACGGCATGTTCACAGGCCTGTCATTTGCTATCTTTAGGACAGAGCTATCCCTGGGAAGGGTAGGCTTCAAGGTCACCAAGACCCAGGCATCAAAACACCAGCCACAAAGAGTTAGTACTTATGTGTGGGTGCCAGGCTGAAAGGGAGAGGTGCTGGGTGTGAGGGGAAGGATTTTATACGGACAGCTCAGGACATTCTGAGTAGTAGCTGCTCTCTGCTTTGTTTCTGTTTGGTTTCCAAAGGGGGCATATTAGAGAAGAAAACAATCTGAAAAGGCTGAACGTGGGGAGGGAACAATTGGCCAAGCCACCCAAAATGCGTCTAGTTAGGTGTGTGGTATTTTGGGGTGAGGCTGATGGAGACTGAAAGCCCAGTGTGGATAGAGGTCCAGAATGAGAATAGCCTGTGAGAGATATACAGCAAAAAGGCAGAGCCCAAGTGGACTCTTGAATGGTGAGTCAAGACCTTTGAATTCTATTCCAAACAAGATGCTCAGAGCTGTTTCACTCCCTAGGAGATCTTTGAATAAATTCATAGACTCATGTACAATGCCTACAGCTGTGTATCACAGTCACAGAACGTAATTAACTGGTTAGGTTGCTGAGGCAAATGGTTCTGGATGAGGAAGAAAAAGAAACTTACTGTGGTGGGGCTGGAAACACAATGCCTCTCAGGTCCAGCAAGCAACTTCTATGGTTTTCTTGCTTTGGGAATTGGAAACAAGAGCCATGGCTTGACCAAAGAAGTTCCTGTCTCTGAGCATGTGTTCAGATGGCCACACTTTTTTGTTGTTGGTGGTGTTTATTTGTTTGTAAATTTATTTATTTATTTGTTTGCAAGGCTGTAAATTCCAATTCTTGTGAAATGTCCTAATCTTTGTGAAATCTAGCATCAGGCTAGCTAAACTCCCTGTCAGCACCGTGAGAGATACTCTGAACTGCCACCTGGACGCCAATGGTCTCTTTATGCTCTGTGCCTGTCAGCTCAGGCAAATGAAAGGGTCAGAGAGGGAATGGAACCACAACAAAGTATGTCTTCATTGGGAAGCTGAGGCACAACAGATTGGAGGGTCAGAGCCAACATCCAAAGACCTTCCCTAAGATCTTACATGGGCCACTTTGCCATACTTTGCATTCCTGCCACACCTTGCCTATATTTCATTTATTATTCCATTCCTTCAGTAGCACCTGCTACAGGCCACACAGAAACACCTCACACACAGAAACAGGAAACTCCAGGGGACGCCCTTTGAATTTGTATGGATGTCATGACTTTTGAGTAAATCAAAGACAAAGGTATCAACAACAGTCACTTCTTTTCCTGATTATGCAAGATGATATTCTTTCAGCACTAAAGAAGGAAATACTTTTGATTGACGGGGTGGGAGGCCAGGCCATGTTTCAAGCCCCTAAAATCCTCTCCCTCGTTGTCTAGGTTTTCTCTGTGTACTGGGCTGTCAGCTTAGTGTGTGGGACTTGACCTTCTTAACATTAGATGTCCAAGGTCTAGTGTGTTCGCTAGGCACAGAGAAGAAACCCAACTGCCTCCTAGAGAAGTGAGTTCTATGTGGCTATATGTGGTTTTGATGAACAAGATTTTAGCTATAAAAATCATAGCAACTTTACAGCAGTTACAAATAAAAGTTAAGTGATTGGGGACAATGCCATTTGAAAAATGACTATATTAGACTATTGAGGCTGCTATAACAAAATACTGGTGGGTTAGATAGCAGGTATTGGCTTCTCACAGTACTGGAGGCTGGAAATCCAACATTAAGGCCTTGATGTCTTAAGGAGGTTCCTCTTCCTGGCTTACAAATGGCTGCCTTCTTGCTGTGTCCTCACATGACCATTTTGGTGTGCATGAGGAAAGAAAGAGGGAGTGAAGGACACACGCACACACAGATATAAGAAGAGACAGAGACAGAGAGACATGATGGAAAGACATGGTCCTCCTCCTCCTCCTCCTCCTCCTCTTCCTGCTCCTGCTCCTCTTCCTCCTCCTCCTCTTCCTCTTCCTCCTCCTCCTCCTTCTTCTTTTCCTCCTCCTTCTTCTTCTTTTCCTCCTCCCACAAGGCTATCAATCCTATTGGATTAGCACCCCATGGTTATTTCTTTATTTAACCTTAATTACCTCCTAAAAGTCCTATTTCCAAATAGTTACTTGGGGGTTAGGGCTTCAGCAAATGCATTTTGTGGGGACACAAAATAACCTAACATTATGATGACACCATTATTGCATCTATGAAATTTTTTTGTTTGTTTGTTTCATCATGATCCAGCAAAAGCTGAGAGGTTTCCCCGCAGACTGCCTGGCCTCTCATTTGGAGCCACTCCCTGCTGTGGTTGGATATATGCAGGGATGGAGTGAAGGGCCATAGGCCAGGGCAGGGTGGGGTGGGGCTGCATCTTGGGACAACTGTCTGTGGGTCGTTAAACTGGGTCTGGGGAAAGACAAGCCCCTGCTCACAATGCTTGCAAGTAGCTACTTCTGTCTCTGCCTCTGGCTCTGCCTATTATTTATATTTACCACCTCCCACTTGTGTCAGGTTTGACATCTAGACACCCTTTGCACCAAAAAAAAATCAGAGTGCCTTTCTTTGCATTATTAATGAAGACAATATTAAAAAAGAGAAGTATGTTTAAAAAAGTCTTCATAGAATATAAAATTGTTGAAAAACATAGCTCTTTATTCTTGCTCTGTGAATGATGGATGGGATTCTCCAGCCCACTGTTGTCTGCAGCACAGATTTATCCTGAGTGTTTGACCATGTAGCACTCTGTGTATGTGTGTGTGTGTGTGTGTGTGTGTGTGTGTGTGTGTGTGTGTGTTGTGTATGTGCATGTGTGGGCACATGCATATATGCGTGTACACATTCATATGTTTTTATAACATGTCTTTTAAGAAATCAACATTGTTAAGTGTGGTGGTGCATGCCTATAATCCCAGCATCAGAAAGGCTGAAGTAGGAGGAGGTCAAGGTCAGTCAGCTTTATAGCAAGACCTTGCATCAAAAATTTATTTCCTACTCTCCAAGAAATCAGTGTTAAGTCAAGAACTGTTTGAAGACAGAATGTAGCCCAGCTCAGGATCGTGGAACATAGTCCTGTGCAGAGTAAAGGGTTTCTCTCTACAGGCCTGGACTCAGTATGGTGTAGGGTTCTGGTGTTGCCTGTAGGGGTTCTCCCACATCACCTTACAGATTGCTCCCAGGACAGCCCTGGTCCTCTTGGCATAGCTGCAGCATAGCCACTGTCTGCGGGGCTCAGGGATTTGAGGCAGAATATCTTTCTGTGCAGAACTGCAGGGGGCTTCAGTGGGTTGAGAGTAATGACCTAACTGTGAATCTGACAGGAACACGGGGGCTAACATTGCCCTCCTCGTTGGGAATGTCCTTTTGAAATATGTTCTAAGGTACGGCTTCTGTCCTATTAATTATGTCACAATCCTAGTAAAAGCTGTGTAATTAATGATCACAGGGCACTTGGAACTATAAAATGTCATGTAAATGTTAAGGAGTACAAATTACTCCATGTATTAGATATTATCCTTCCTACCATGGACTATTTTGGAGTCAGCATTTCTAGAAGAGCTAGAAGCATTTCTATCAGACATTTAAAAAAATATCTTAGGGAATGAGTGGGAAAGAGGGAACAGCTGACACTAAGCACAAGGAAAGGAATGTACATATCACCCGATGTAGAAGAAATAGCTGTATTGTCAAAGCTCATAGAACTCATAAACTTTATAGAGCATGATAGAGACAATTTGTCCCATGAAGGTTAGAATGTGTTTGTGACTTTAACTAAGCATCACTATCCCACAATACTGTGAAATTTGTGAAATTTATGTGATCACTTAATCACAATAAAAAATTGCCAAAAAACAATCTTAGGACGTCTTAGGATCCTAACCACATTTTTAGGAATCTTGAGTTTCTGTATTCTGTAGTATTTGAAAGGCTAATGGTTAGCTGGCACTTGAAGCTCTGGAAATGAGGTTGCTCAACACATTTTGATTAAAGCTTTCTTACCTCTCTCTAGCCAGAGACAATTTGGTCCTGAGGCCAGAGAAGAGGTGAAGATCATTGAGCAACCAAACACACCTCTCTCCCGCTGAAGCCTCACCTGGACACAGTGTTGGTCTTGACCTTTGCCAGCAGATGGGATGGCTCTGGGGTTGGCTCTCTGCAGGTGAATGTGTTACCCAGGCACTAAGAAGGACTTACAGGAGAGGAAGGGGCAGGGCTTATTCTCTGTGAGCAGGAAAGACCTTGTGTTTAAAATTGAATGTCAAATGCTAGGAGTTGATGGCTTATACCTGTAATCCTAGCTACTCAGGAGGCTGAGATCTGAGGCTTTCATTTTGAAGCCAGCCTGGGCAGGAAAATTCATGAGACTCTTATCTCCAATTAATCAGCAAAAAGCTGAAAGTAGAGGTGGTTCAAGTGGTAGAGTCCCAGTCTTGAGAGAAAAAGCTGAGAGAACCCAGGCCCTCAGTTTAAGCCCCCATGTCAGCATACCCCTAGCCCCACCCCACAGTCCCACAATCCCACACTCCACACTTTCCCACACAAAGCCCAAGTTAATGGTGCAAATCCAATCTTGATGTCCAGAAGAATGAAAGCCACAGAGAATTTGAATAGTTTCAAGCCAGTGTTTCAGTACAGTTTCTAAAAGTTTAAATATCTCTAACTTCTAAATTGACAATACAGGTTTCAAAATAGATCACGGTTTGTGCAATGTGAATGTAAGGGAAAGAGATAGAGTACTGAATAAAAGAATGGGAATAACATTATAAATGCTGTGGAGATTCTCATTTTATCACAGGCTTTGATTGATGCCTTTAGTTCTTCCTCCTGCATCAGTAACACAGTGCTTGGGCAGTTGCATCCTGTTGCTATCATTGCTTCATTGTAAACATAAGAAATTTAGAGGGTTTTCCTGAAATTATAGGGCCAGGAGGAGGTATACTGGGAATAGAACCCCAAACCCTGGACCCTTCTATTGTCTTCTTTCTTCTCTACCATGAAATTCTGTTTCTCAGTGTTAACTCTAGTAATCAACTTCTGAGAAACAGCATTGGCATGTGTTTGATAATTTGCACACTATTGAGAAGGTGATCATCAGAGAGAAGTCCCTGCTGTATGTTGTGTGCTGCTGATGTGGGTAGCCAGCCACCTTGAGTCTAGTTGGGAGGGCTTAGAGATGTATCCAATACTGATCACACACAAGGTTAGAGAGCTAAATGCCAGTTTTCTAGAGAACCAACAGTGAATTATACAGACTGAGTTTAAGAAACAACACTAAGATGAATCCAAGCTACCTGAAAAAAAAGTAAATCACTTAAACCCAACATCTATTACTTAAAATGTTTCTAAGATGTTGCCAGGGGCCAGAGGCTCACACCTGCTCAGATCTCAGGCTGAGAGATCTGAGTATCATGATGCAAAGCCAGCCCTAGCAGGGAAGTCCCATGACACTCTTCTTTCCAATAAACTACCAAAAAGCTGTAGTGGAACTGTAGCCCAAGTGGTAGAGCACTAACCTTGGGCAAAAAAAGTTCAGGACCAATATCCAGACTTTGACTCAAGCCCCAGGATGGGCACACACACAAAAAATGTTTCTGAAGGTTTTATGAGATGTAATTTGCCTGTAGGAAATGTACATATTTCAGTATATAGTTAAGTGAGTTTTGGCCAAAATAAACATGATGTAGTGAGCACTCCAACCAAATATAAACCATTGTTATCTCTCCAGCTAATTCTTCAGGCTCCTTGCAGTTGAACCCTATGTCAAGAATTCTAAGTCAGTACCATAGCAGAGACAAGTAGCTTTCTCTGATTTCTGTTCCCATGGTTCCCAAATGAAATCACACCATATCCTTTTGTTTCCAGTGTATTTTCTTCAACACAATGTCTTGATGTTCCTCAGTGTTGCTCCTAGTTTGTTAATTTTATTACTGAGAAGAAACATAAAATGATCACAGTTTGCCATATATCTGAGATGCTTTCAGACTTTAAGCTACAATAAATAGCCACAGTAATAGCTTTGTACAGGTTTTTTTTTTTTAATTTTCTACGAGTGAATAACTAAACAAGACTTGCTGAGTATTTGGGCAAGTGTGTGTCTAACATCATAAAAACTGCCAGTTTCTGAGGGCTATAACAGCAACAATAGATAGCTAGACTTTTCTTGCTCTACTCAGAAATCATGAATAGATGAGGAATAGCTTTCTAGTATGGTAGAAAAGGCACCTGAGGGCCAAACGCTTATGGGCTGGGCTGACAGACTCAGAGGCTTAGAGCTCCAAGTCCTGAGAACGAAGACTTACCAGCCTTTTGAGGCCAGAGACTGATGGCTACTGGAGCTAATAGCATCTAAGTGCTCAGGTGAAGGTCTACCACTCTGGGCTTTGACTACCAGTGGCCCAGTACTTAGCTACTAGCATGATCTTCAGCTCCTAGTAGGAGATTTAAGTTTAACTTCCAATTCTTTTTTGATAGCATTTTTATATTGATCTTTTCATGTACATTCTCTCTAATTTCACTTATTAATTTGGTAGGTCTTGATAGACTCTAGGATTTTCTACTTATACATTAAATATAAATAAAGAGTTTCATTTCTTCCTTGCCAATATTTATCCTTTTCTTTTTTCTTGCTTTATTAGACTGTTAAAAGCTCCGATACAAATTGAATAGCTGTGGTATGAGTGGATTTTATCTTGTTCCTGATATTGGTAGGAAAAACATTTTGTATTTCACCATTCTATACTGAACATTCACTGAATTATCTTTAGTAGATGGAGTAAGCACCCTTTTACTCCTAGTTGAGCATTTTTATTATGGATGTTGGATTTTGACTGTAGGATTTGTCAAAAAAAAAAAAAAAAAAGGTATGTATTGCCGAGAGCTACTGGCTCATACTTGTAATCCTAGCTACTCAGGAGGCTGAAATCTGAAGATTGCTGTTCAAAGCCAGCCCGGGCAGAAAAGTCCATGAGACTCTTATCCCCAATAAACCACTCAGAAAACCAGAAGTGGCACTGAGGCTCAAGGGGTAGAACACTTTCCTTGAGCTGAAGAGCTGAGGGACAGCGTCCAGGCCCAGAGTTCAAGCCCCACAACTGACAAAGAAAAAAGGGGTATGTATTGAAACGAGGTGATCTGACTTCTCCAGATTTTCTTTTTCAGTACTGTTTTGGCTATTCTAATTCCATTTTTGCTTCTGCTCCTTCTTGAGTGATTAAAAAATTATTAAAAATTTCATATAAAGTTTTTGTTGCCATAGTTTTTGATGTTGACTATAGTGTTACTTATCATTCTTTTAACATCTGAGAGTCCATAGTAGTTTTCTTTCCTTTATTCCTGGTATTTTTTTCTTTCTCCCTCTCCCTCTGCCTTTCCCCACTTTTCTTTCTTTTTTCTTTTTTCCCCACTTTTCTTTCTTTCTTTCTCATCATCATCATCATCCACTCATCAGTTTGGATAGATGCTTATCAATAATGTTTTCAATATGAGTCATCAACTTCATTGTTTTTTGCTTCTAATTTTTTTTGGTGGTTACTGGGGTTTACACTTTCTAGACACATACTCTCCCACTTTAACTGCACCTCCAGCCCTTTTTGCTCTGATTCTTTTGGAGTTAGAGTCTCACTTTTTTTTTTACCTAAGCTGGCTTGAACTGATCTTCCTATTTATGCTTTTCCCCATAGCTGAGTCTGATAGGTTTGAACAATCATGCCCAGCCTTTGCTTTTGAGATGAAGTCTCTTGAGCATTTTTGCCTGTCTTGTCAGGAACTGCAATTCTTTTGATCTCAGCTTCCCATGTACCTGGGATAACAAGTGTACACAACTATGCCCAGCTATTGGTTGAGATAGGATATAGCAAACATTTTCCCCTGGTTGGCCTCCTGATTTGATCCTCCTGAACTTTACTACCTGAGTAGTTAGGATTATAGTTGTGAGTCACTGGTATTTGGCTGTTTTAAATTTAATTGCTATCTACCCCCAGTATTATTAATTTCCTTCTGCTTGCTCTGATATAATCCATACTCTTTTGTGCCCTCTCTCAGTCTCTCTCTTAAGGTGAAGGATTAAATTATGATATTGACACATTCTTTCTTACATACCATAATCATTTAATACTAAAATTTCCCTTGAAGCATTGCAGCTGTATATCGCTTCTTTTGGTATGCTGTGTTTTCATTTAAATTAAAATAATTCAATATTTTCATTTAGACTTCTCCTTTGGCTCATGGATTATTTAGTGTTGTCATAGCTCCAAGAACATCCGCTGTATGAATTTTGTTCTTTATGAACTCATGACCAATGTGCCTGTGTGTATGTGTGTGTGTGTGTGCCTGTGCTGCATATATGTGTATGAGTGTACATGCCCATTTATATATAATGTTACATGTACACTTGAGGCAAATATGTATTTTTATGTAATTAACAAAGAATTTTATAATATTAATTGGATCAAGTTGGTTAATTATGCTTTGCAAAAATGTATATTCTTAGTGATTTTCTGCATAATTGGCCTTTCAATAAATGAGAGAAGGCTGACTTTTCAATGATTAATTTGTCCATTTCTTCTTTAAGTTTTACCAATTTTTGCTTACAGTATTTTGAAAGTTATTTTTAGGTGCATCCATGCATAGGACTTGTACTTCCTCTTAGATAATTGAATGCTTTGACATTAGGTAATTTATTTATCTCTGAAAAATATTTTCTATCCTCAAGGCCATTTTGTCCTTTATTCTAAGCATCTTCTGTTTAATGTTTTCATGTATTTTCTTTATACTTTTAGTTTAACCCGCTTATATCTTTAAAGTGAGTTTCTTGTTAATAGCATATAATAGAATCCTGCTTTTTATTTATAACTTGACAATCTTTGACTTTAAACTACTGAGTAGGCCAGTTTCATTTAAAGTAATTATTGATATGTTTGGATTTAAGTCTATCAAGCTAAAGCTGAATTTCAGTTTATTCATCTGTTTGTGTTTCTTTTTACTTTTTGACAGCTCTTGAGTGAATGAGCTATTGTTTATTATTCCACTGTGTCACTTTCATGACATTTTTATATTTTCCACACACATTTTAATTGTTGGCCCAGCTTTTATAATATGTATTTTTAATGAATCAAAGGTTATTTTC